CTATATCCGCACTAACATAGATGGTGGCTAAATAGATCCGGCATCTGGATTGGCGACCCAAACCATGCAACATCGAGGTCACTTTCGCACCCGTAGTCAAAAAATAATCTGGTCTATCAAACGAAGACTCTAGGAGAAGATCGGCCACGAAACTACTATCGAACCAGAACTTATTAAGTCTAGTCGGGAAATTTAGGCAGACTTGTGGCCGCGCCCCCCCCCAGGCACCACTGGGCCTAAGAATGTGTCTGAGCTCATTTCTTCAAGGGCAGTCGGGTTAAATCATATGTTCCATGTATGGCCACGTCAATACTGCCGCGGACTGCGACCAAGGTGTGTCATTTACAAGGCACCATTACACTGGATTTACCTGCCCCTCCACCGATGCACAAACTCGCCCGGCCACTCAATACTTATATAGCTTTCCCTGCATATAACATATAACAACAACAAAGCCAACACCAACGAGGTTAGAGATGTATGCCCCAATACTTAAGGTCGTAACCTGCGGATGAAGAGGATGTCTGTGACCAAACTCCAGGGTGACATTTCGTCATACTCGAGAAAGGTAGCTACACTTGCTGATAATGGGCATATCACTCATGTTCACTTGGCTCGTCAATTTTCCAGTATGCCACTTTCAATCGCGGGCCACGGGCCCTAATGATTGTCCGCGGAGCCCAAGTAAACCCCAGTGGTGAGGAAGCGAACATACGAACATCACAGCTGGCCGACCATCATGAGGCGAATCACACTATGGACAAAATAGCATGTACTCCCGGAAATCAATTCGCTCTTGCTAGAAATTAAGCACCAAAGGACCCCCGAGGCATGACATTCTGTAAAACAGTAATTTAATCTATCTTCCGTTGAGGCATTCAACAGCAAAGACCGATTGTGCCCAGCAAAGCCATAGTAGCGCGCAAAACCGGTTCATCGAGGGCACCCCAGCAAGCCGAGTCGGCATTGATTAATATTGGCTAGCGAGGACCTAAACCTGACTAGACGCCCGATTGAACTCTAAATATGGGGACTGCTCCCGCACAAGTATGTTCAGCAAAGCCATGAGAGAGTGATACCACGAGCAGTTCCAATTTAGATACAATGTATTCTCGATCGAGGGCAATCTCGGAACTACTTCGCGGCACATATTGTACTGTATTACGCTGTAGTGTATAAGGATAGATATAACGTATACATAGAGTCCGATACTCCTGCGCCACCCCATCCCTCTAAGCTTTAGGTTCCGACTATTATACAATTTCTCAGTTTGTGGAACGTTGCGAGCCAGTGCGTTGCGGTTCGTAGCCCTCATCATAACTGCCGTTGTCCCCATCCTTTTCGGTCAAGGTGTCTGGCTCTTGTTTAGTGAACTTGTTCAGGCCAACTTGGACTATCATCATGGTTGGAGCAATACCCTAAGATAAGGTCGGAATCGATCTAGACATCAAGGACCAAAGAACAGGTCGGACGAACCACAAGGCGAATGGGTATAGCCACCAAAACGTACTACAACGAAACGGTAAGTTGGCAGTGCACAATAGCACCTTGAAACGTCGTTTTTCTTACCTTAACAAGTGGAAAGAATCCTAACAGGGCCAGGTATATAATCATTCCGAGTGGATAGATGGACCCGGACCCGAGTCTGGCCGCATTTACTTGTTGAGGACAAAGCAGAGCAACAGAAACGGCGCACTCACAAGATGACCACGGCCTGTCGGTAGACTTGGACATGACGTTTCCCTAGTGCTGACCTATATGCTCTGGAAATCCACCAAATCCTCCCCGCTTTTGTTTTTGAGCAAGATTTATTGTCTAGTACTGGTTTGATCGTACCTGTTGCACTTGTAAGCAGAATATTTATCGCGAGGATAGCCCAGGTGTAGAAACGGCCAACTACGCTGATGGTTGTACCTAGAGATATGGCGTGATATAACCCAACCCCTATGTAACCACACACTAGGACAGATTATTTGAGTGACTGGCCAAACTGGATGTGACACGATGTGGCTTACCTGTTTCAGCTACTATGAACAAACCAATGAACATGACCCAGTACTTGTAGGAACTTCCCCAGACCATCCAGCATCGATACAACTATTATGGATATCAGAAGACATTTGCGAACTCATTTCTAGTAGCTCACCAGCAGAAAATCAGCAATGAAACTTTGGAGTATATCAGTTAAACTCGAAGCTTGAAGGCAGCTAAGACTGACTTGTTGGTCACAAATATTAGGTTCTTTGGGTTTACTCTATCAGGAGGAAGCAGGGCGGCGAGATCCGTCTGCTCCACAGCTGGCGGTAGTCTGTTCACTATCGAATCCAAGGTGAAGGCGACATCAATAGTGCATGATAGAAACAATAGAACGATGGCTCCAAAAATCAGCTTTGGTGTTGCTTGCCGATTCAGCAGCACAAGGTGTAGATAGATAAAGAACAGTACAAGGTGCATGCCTGGCGATCCATTCAGTGGGCTCAACATGTGGATCGGTGGGGGAGGGTTCTCACCATATAAAAGCAGCTCAATCTGCGGAGGAGCAAAAGTTCCATTGAGGTTCAATTTACTAAATACATTACTATACTTACCAACCCAGCGAGCGCAAAGGATGTTACAAGTTGCGAAAAAAGCCGTCCCGTATCTTCTTGCGCCCGCCTTGTTAGCGCTAGACTGAGGAGAGGAGACATGGACTTTATGCGTTACATACTTTGATTTGAAAGCGGTTTATATCTGCTGGAGATGCGATTAGTCAATAATGGGTCCAATATATTGCTACTGACAGTTGCTACCATGTCAATCAGCCTGATCCTGTGATAACCTCAACTTTGATGTTCCGTAACTCGTTTGGAACGATTCGGCCTTGAATATCTTGCGAACGAGCGTGCATTCCCGACGGCAGATTTGATTGCTATTCAGATTAAGTATAAAGCCTAACCGTATGGAAATTGAATTGGATCTCTCAGTCACTCCTTTTAGTTATTCAGAGGTGTCTAAATAAGACAGGAAGAAGCAACACACGTTTACAGGTTTGCCACGCCGTAAGGCATAAGCGTGTGTCTTTGGGCGCGAGCCTACAACTTGAACCCGCTTAACAACCATGGATCCGTGGTTGTTGGGGGAGATTCTAGAGCGATCACGGGTATGGAGCCGGTTTGACAGATATACACAGCGCCCGCGCGGATCTCGTGGGGTGTGCGTCGTAGCGCCGACACACACATAGCCCCCACGAAGATCCTGACCTGCACAATGCACAGGGCACGAGACCCCCCAGTGAGACTGGCACGGCGTTCAAGTCACTCCACCGCGCTCGTAATCGATATACCGTACCGCTATTCGTTTCGGTCAGACTTCTCAGGTGTGGTGCCCAAAAATACCCGTTTTCGATATGCAGGAACGTTGTGGGCGCTCGCCTCAACTCGAATGGACCAACCGGGAAGGCAGGTTTGACAACGCCTCACAGAGTAGTCAACATCAACGGATGTCTTCCCTGTTCAAAGTAAGTTGGGCGCTAGTTTCTGGATCATCAACCGATAGCGAACAATTGGAAGGGTCGTAGTTTGGGTCGTAAAAGAGTGTATGCTTTACCCTAGTTATGTTTTGTCATGAGAAAGTGTATCACACGAAAGAGACACATACCACGAGACGGAATATCATTGTTTCCAATGGTAGCCGCGATCTTCAAGCTTCATTTGCAGGGTCCTTAAACGCGAAACTTGCCTCGAGATTTGATTTGATCAAGGAGCCAGCGACCATTAGTGAGTACTAGGGGATAAACAAATCTAGGTTCACGCCTAGAAACAATAATGGCTCAGGGACCATGGGACACCAAGTGTATTAGTATTCGTACATACGGGATAGCGATTGCCGTTCGATAACTGTGGGTATTTTGGTTAACCTTACATATTCTCATAGTTGAGTAATCGAAGATGAACCACTTAAAAGGAACGCCTACAGATCGTCGGGCGCTTATCGGACATTCCAGTGAGAACGATGTTGGTGATGAAGACCGACCGAACAAATGTGAGCCAATAGGCGCTGTCCACAGATGGGCTGACAAGAGATCTATTGGATGTGGTATCCCAACCAAGACATAGCCATAAGCTGAGACATGAGCTCGCAGGCGCAAAGGGACCAAAATATCCATCTCGGCGATAAGATCTAAGACCTCGTGTCATTAGTCTAAATGCATGTTAAAATTTGAACAGGAGGGGCACACTTGTGGGTCCCACATATAATTGTCTTCGACATCACCCCGCTGAGAACGGGGTCCGTGTTAGTGGGTTAGGGGAACCATAGAACCGCCCGAAGCGTGATTCTGACGCCAACCGCCGAAGAAACGAACAACAGGTTAATGAATGCAAAACTACAATGTGTGTTTCGCCGCGGCCGGCTCGAATGAGTGTCCCAGTGGGTACAGATACAGAACAGTATGACGTGACGGTGTGCACGCTTGGATTTGACGCCTTGGCGCCTTGCTTCAGGTCGAAGTTAAGTTGTGAAATACCATAGATCTATAGAGCAAGCTTCAACCTACGTTCACGGTCGTGATAGTCATCCCGACAGAATTATGGGATGACTTACAAGCGCTGCAGGAACAAAGGGTGTGATTGATTCCACCAAAAGTTGGCGTCCATCCCCGCTACGCCCATGAAACGCGGATGAAGACCTCCCACCGGTGATATCGTTGAGGGTTGATTCGAAGCTGTGGTTGTTAAATCCGGAGAAACACAGCGCCGAAAGTTAAGAATACTATGGCCCAATGATCGCAGCATAATATTACTAGGGTTCAGATCATGGTCTTTGAGTGTCGTGGCTTTGAATCGGCATTTGCCATAAATTTAGCACCAGTAAATACATCATTACACCCAACTGACGACATTCATGTATCTTACACTTCCTATGCGCCATGGCTTGTTATTGGTTTGGCTAGCTGGTTGCTGTGAAAAGTCCAGAAATGCTGTATGTCGGATGTTATGTTGTAGACTTGGTTGGTTAACGATTCCCGCTTGGCCCAGTGGTAAGGCGTCTCACTCGTACTACGTGATTCCAATGTCACGGTCAAATGAGAAGATCAGTTGTTCGAATCAGCTAGTGGGAAATCATTTTTATGTTCTTTCTTAATTACTAGAAGGTACTTGGGAAAGAGTTGAGCTTGGTTTGAAGTGTCGTATCCGGTAGAGGGGAAGGAGAAATGAAAGGATGTTACGTGTCACAGTGTCACGCAGTGGATTGGCGCCCCGTTGTCGTGGTCCCGAGCCTCGACCAAGTACAGTTGCGCAAGCTGGTATTTTGTGTATCTGCTTCTCAGTTGTCGAGTTCATGCCGCTGTTCTTGGACCGCCCACCGACCTGCAACGCCTCATATTTACCCTAAACGCTATCCAGTACGAGTCTTACCTAAGGAGAAAGAGTTGGGTGACTTGCCAAGAGGATCCTGGGCTGGTCAATGTAAAAGTTTAATCTACTCCGTTGACCGAATGTTCCGAATAACGTTTTCTTGACCAGAGAATCGGAAATGAAATTAGAGAAATGGAATCTTTTCGGGGGTCGGGATACATCACGATATATGATATATCGTCTCTTGGGCCTCAGCTCCTAGATTTTAGTTATCTATCACGAATGACGGATCATCGATATCGATCATCCAAGATCCGAACTTTATAGTCCGTCGCTTGTCGCGCATACAAGGGGTACATATAGCGAAAGTAATTGTAGTCATTAATTTACAGCGGGTTAAATTCAACCTATCGTAATCAATTACTTCGATAACATCATCTGTTAACCGAATCAATAATGTGGAGGTCCATGTGAGGATGGTGTACGTACCTTGACGAACTCTATTCATGAGCCGCACCAGATTAGATATAGTCAGGGTCATCTGCCTTAGGCGCTAGAGAAGGAAGAACAGACCTTCGTAGTTGATTTGACCATCGCCGTCAACGTCGGCCTCGCGTATCATCTCATCAACCTCTGAATCCGTCAATTTCTCACCTACAAGCCGCCCAATGAGTTGGTTGTACTGTTTATGGTGTCTATGACCGCGGGGAAGCGAAGAACGAACCCAAGTTTGTCATGACATGCCTCAACTCGGCGGCGCTGATGTACCCATTACCATCCTTGTCAAAGACCTTGAAGGCCTCTTTGATCTCCTCCTCGCTATCAGTATCGCGCATCTTGCGCGCCATCATGGTTAGGAACTCTGGGAAATCGATGGTGCCATTGCCGTCCGCATCGACTTCGTTGATCATGTCCTGAAGCTCGGCTTCCGTGGGATTCTGACCAAGGGAGCGCATGACAGTGCCCAGTTCCTTGGTCGTGATGGTGCCATCGCCATCTGCGCAGGAAGAAAGTGGTTAGTTGCAATACTATACTGTTAGCGAGCCGACAAGCGCCTACCCTTATCGAAGAGGGAAAAGGCCTCCTTGAACTCTGAATTGCCAAGACCGAATTAGGGGCTTCTAGTGACGATCGATGACGGAAGACGCACCAGAAATCTGTTCTGTTACGCGACCGCAGCACAACGACAAAGAACAAAGCAGGAATCATCGCGTCAGCATTTCGATTCTCCGTGTGTCGCACCCAAGATGCGATTGGAATCAAGGCTTCACCTTCAGACTAGATTGGCGATGGGACGCGTTTGTGAGTGTGTGCTAGTGAGATGGAACAGGTTAGACGTACCAGTTGGTCGGCCATTGTAGATGTAGAACGGAAGTAGGATAGTTGCTGTGAATGGGGGATACAAGCTATTTATTGACTTATGGGGGTCAATCAGGTCCCAGGGTATCGACGTCCTCGGCTATCTCCGCATCGCCCTTTTATGGGCCTGCGTCATTCATTCTGTACAACCCACACCAAGCAGTGTTCTATTAGACGCCTATCCATATATTCGAACCTTCTTCTAGTACTCGATTCACTAAGACAACGTCGGTGGCTCAAAGAAACGACGTTTGTCTCACCAGGTAAATGCGGTGGTGCCGTTGCCATGAACCTGTTGCGGGATAATGGAAACAAAGTCATTGTGGTGCTGCTATTTCCTCGACGTGTTTTCAATCCTATGCTCCCGTTGAAAGCTGTGATTAGCTGTCAAATGCTCAAACCTTGCTCACCGCTATCAACGCGGAATACACGTCCTTCTTTCATGATGATATCTTCCAGTGTTATTAAGATTTCCACTTACTGATTGGTGTCCCACAACATTACCACCCACATCCCAAAAAGGGCCACCTTGTGCTCCAACGGCCTTTTCCTTTTGATCAGCATGCCGGTAGCCACTTAAATTACTGGGAATTGGTTGGGGCGTATGAGCACTCTGGAATAGAACCTTTGTGTTTTGCGATGCCACAGCCAGAGGAAATATCTCACGGATTCTGAACTATCAAGATAGTGTTCTATTTTTCTAGTGGGTCTTGTTGTAAATTTGTAGCTACCCAACCACAATACTACTACTTTTAGGCAATATATTCTATTTAAATATAGGGGGTTTCAACTGCACAATAGTGCTGAATGCCAAGACTCTGTTCCTCTCCTTGTACTTATTCTCGCCTCTTCTACGCTGTTCTATGGTCAAGAAGCGCTATACTTACTTCTGTTGAGTCAAGATGAACTAGTAGGAAGTGTCCGTGGTCACCGGCGTGGGAGCTGCGGAACTAAAGGGAGTGGTGCAACATCGTATATAACCCCCAGCCGCCCTGGCTAAAGATAAACTCTTCCTTACATCTCTCCAGCAGCGCCCTCCTCTCCACATATTCCTCCATTCGCGCCCGGCGCCGAGATTCACCGACTAAATACAGTATGCCTCCAATCCGCGTTCAACTCGTATGTCTGTCTAATCCTGGTTATCCCGTCTGAGACACTGATCGCTTTTACTCTTCCGAAGCCAGAGGGTACGTCCATAACATGTCCTCTACGTCGTGGATATGCCACTCACGCGAGATATTGCAGAACGGATCTCTGGTTTGTCGTTTTACCACAGACAGACTTGCATCCACAGGCTCAGGTCGGAGCTGCAGCGTACAGGGACTCCTTCCAGCTCTTTGACAAGGGTGCGTAGTCTTCTCCAACATTGCCTTCGGGGTCCTTACAAGTCTTCGCAGACGGAAATGGCGCCATATCCCCTCAGGAACTGACCGACGTCATGCGCGATCTTGGCCAAACCCCGACAGAAGCAGAACTAAAAGTTATCATGAGAGACCTCGACACGAACAAGGATGGAAACATCGATTTCAGCGAATTCCTATGCCTCATGTCTGCTCGATCCAAAGTTTCTAGAACTGGAAAAGTGGACGACAACGAAGATGAGATCCGGGAAACGTTCAAGGTGTTTGACAAGGACGGAAATGGGTCGATTAACCTCGAAGAGTTAAAGACTGTCATGAAGAATCTTGGGGTGAAGGTGACTGACGAAGAGTGTAAGATGATGATGAAGGAAGCCGACGAGGATGGGAATGGTGTCGTTGACTTTAATGGTGCGCCTTCCCGACAATCGACTTCTATACATGCTAATCGTGCATTATACAGAGTTCCGACGTGTAAGCTTCATTCATCCGACATGAAGATCGGCGCTCTGACATCCCCGCAGATTCTAAGTCATTGAAGCTGCTTGGTATCGTGTCTCATGAGGATCCCCTTTCGATTTCTTCACATATCGTCAATATTTTCATTGTAAGAGTAGCTATGGCATATAGTATAAACCCATCTGGATAACACAGTCGGCCAGGCACCCGGCCAGTGACCAAGCACCTGTGCAGCCGGACAAACGCATCATATCTTGCTCATAGTACAGCCACCACACTACGTCACCGCAGTCTGGCCCCTGCCTATATAAAGCTACAATCCAATGCTACATTTCCATTCTTACCTCACAATGGCTAGCATTATCCGTGATATCAAGGACAAGCTCTCTACTACCAAGCCTGAATCCAACCAGCCAACTGGTGATTCCGCCGCCCCATCTCAACAAGGAAGTGAGGGGCAGAGTTTTAACATCCTCCCCCACCCAGCAGTATGTCCCTCTTGGCGTTGTGTCTGTGTGTCGATACTCATAGTCTATATCAGAAATCCAATGACCCTGCGGATTTGCAGAATCCTAGTGAGGAGACTGGTGGGTTGAGGAGTAGCCAGAACCCATTCGGTGCCTTTACGAATTCACCTGGTCCGGTACAACCGAACCAGGAAACGTTGAAGGATCTGCCTCCTGCCAAGGTACGCCCTAAGAGACTTGATTGGATAATTCCTTACTCATGCGCCCTCGTAGACCCGTGAAGAGCTCGAGGCAATTCAGGCCCAGCTAAACAAATAATAAATCATAGATTTGGGAGATTCTTGATACTGACATCGTACATGATAGTTATGGATAGTGTTTTATGTTTGTACTATATACATTTATGCGCTTCTTGTTATATCTACTATCAGCGCTCATTCGGAGGATTGACACCAGTCGGAATTGGTGCCCCAAACCCCCCAGTCTCCAAGCTCAGTGGTAAGGCGCCTTCATCGGTCCCACAACCCACATCCACACCAGGATCACTACCAACTTCAATTACAACTTCTGTGCTATTCAGAAGTGCCCAGAAGTCAATCCAACACCGACTTTTCCATGGGTTCCCATCGATGGTCACACTTTGCACATATAATCTTGTATTGTTTGCTGGGTTTTGTACTAGAGTCCCAGAATCAAAATTGGCGACACGGACGGTTGTAGCAAATGTTTGTGTTGATGAGACAGAAGTCTTGATACTGTAAGAGGAGAGGAAGGGTGATCCAATGAGCAGTTGTGTGCTCGATGGGACAGGGTAGAGGCCAAGTAGGTGGAAAGTGAGTAGGGCGGCCATTGCGCCGGAGTCATCATTTCCCGGAATTCTAGTAATCCGGTCGGTGAGTTGGGAGACACACGCACATAAAAGAAACGAACCCTCCGATTCCAGTGCCGAAGTTCCCGTAAACTACTCCTCGCACTCTTCTCGCAGTGAGATCAGGTCTATTGGCGTAGTGATATGCCCAAGGAACTGCAAAGGACGGTTCGTTGCCAGCTTGGAAGTACCCCTTCGAGAAGTAATGGTCACTAGATTTATATGTTCATTCAACGATCCCGGTTAATTGT